TCACTGCTTAATATGCACTATCTGCTCGCTTGGCTTCTTGGAGAGACACAGATGCAAGAGTGCATTTAATTGTTTTCCTGAATCAGACCCCTGGAGCCATCAATATCTCACATATGTAATTACAAATCATGAGTCTTGCAACCAAAGCGCAATCAGCACATCTAGCCATAAATCTTCCAGATATCAGCAAGTTCTCCAAAGCCGCTTTTTGACAAAGCCTGATGCAGCACGAACTAAATAAGTCAGGCAGAAGAAGCTGCTGGTGCTGAGGTTTGCAGCCCACCAGAGCTGCTGCGGCAGCAGACGGGCTCTGGACCCCACGCTGGAGGGAAGCGATGCCATCCAGAGGGACCTGGACAGGATGGAGAAGTGGGTCTGTGCAAACTTCAAGAAGTTCAACAAGGCCAAGTGCAAGGTCCTGCTCCTTGGTCACAATCCCAGTCACAAAAAAAGGTTGGGCAGAGAATGGGTGGAGAGCAGCCCTGAGGAGAAGGACTTAGGGGTGTTGGTGAATGAGAAGCTCAACATGACCCAGTAACGTGTGGTGGCCGGTGGATGAGAAGCTCAACATGACCCAGCAACCTGTGGTGACACCCCAGAAAGCCCCCCACATCCTGGGCTGCATCCCCAGCAGGACAAGGAGGGGGATTCTGCCCCTCTACTCTGCTCTAGGAAGAGAGGCAGGGGATTCTGCCCCTCTACTCTGCTCCAGGAAGACCCCAGCTGGAGTGCTGCATCCAACTCTGGAGTCCTCAGCACGGGAAGGACATGGACCTGTTGGAGTGGGACCAGAGGAGGCCACAGAGATGCTGGGAGGGCTGGAGCCCCTCTGCTGTGAGGACAGGCTGAGAGAGCTGGGGGGTTCAGCCTGGAGAAGAGAGTCTCCCCTCTCTCTCCAGGGAGACCTTCAAGCCCCTTCCAGTCCCTCAAGGGGCTCCAGGAGAGATGGGAAGGGACTCTTGATCAGGAAGGAGAGCCATAGGACGAGGGGGAAGGTTTGACCCTGAAGGAGGGGAGATGGAGCTGAGCTGTGGGGAAGAACTTCTTTGGTGTGAGGGTGGTGAGAGCCTGGCCCAGGTTGCCCAGAGAAGCTGTGGCTGCCCCATCCCTGGAGGGGTTCAAGGCCAGGTTGGAGGGGGCTTGGAGCAACGTGGGCTGGTGGGAGGTGTCCCTGCCCAGGGCAGGGGGTGGCACTGGATGGTCTTTAAAGTCCCTTCCAACCTAAGCCATTCTGTGATTCTAAGGCCAAAAAATTCATGCTCTGCCAGGTGGGAAATGAATCATTCCTGGAGATCATGGGAATGCAGATCTCGCCCTGGGATACCCCATGGCCAGATCAAGACATCAATTGCAATTTCACAGCATTTCCGAAGACCTCTTTTGGACTTCCCATAGGACATGGAAAGCATCAGTTTTCTTCCATTTCCTGTTGACACACAGGTTTTCTGAACTCTCAGTAAACGCTGATCAATGTACATCATTAATAAAGGAGGACTGGCTGCACCCCCTCGAGCAAAGTACGTCCAGGTGTGTAATGAAAACACGTATTCATCTATACACACACATCAGCACCATTTGAACTGGGAAATCAAAACATCTCTGCCAGAGCTTATGCTCTTGAAGATCAGGATCTATACGATGAGCGTTTCAGATGTCACTTACTGTCTCTGCCTCTTCTGTGAGCACTAATTTAGACATGATACATTACGCTGTAATCACAATTTTATCTGCTGGGCAGTGGTAGCCAGAGGAAATCTGTATGCCTGGCAAGGAAAGCCTAGCTGTGAAACGCACGCACAACCGAGTGTGAAGATTGAGGGTATCTTTGTGTATCAGGATTTTAAATGTTAATGGGAAAAAAAAATACAAACGAAGATGTATTACAGAACACAGGTATGACACTGGCATCCCTCCTAGGCATTGAGAGAGACTACTTCTTGTAGGGAAATTATTGGATAAAGCAGGAGCCTGGAGCCAGTTTGAGACTGGGCCATATTTTAGATGGGTTTCATGCCATCAGCTCTCTTTGCCTGGATAATTATATCTTGTGAATTATCCATGAGAGAAAATTGCCTCCAAAGGCATTCTCACAGCTGCCTGTCTCCAGTCTCCGCTGCCGAGGGCTCGGCGGGGGCTGACACGTCGGGACTCACAAACGCTGGAGCTCCCCTCATGGGCAGGGGAACCTCCCCTGGGGCTGCCATAATCCCCACAAAACCAGACAGTACAACCAAAAAAAGAGAAAAAAACTGAATAAACCGCCGTACTTTGCTCCCAGTCTTTTATCTTAAAAGGTCTCTAAAAAACTAATGTACCTCTGTATACTATAATTTCAGAATTTCCTCTAATCCCATGCATAATTACACGGAGTACTGCACTGGTATCCCTGTCGTGCAAATATTGCCATAAAGTGCATAGTTTTCATAGCATTATATGACAAAAAAAATCACTGTAGCCATTTATTTCTGGTCTGTATGTGGTTACGCAACATAATGCAATGAGACAGTATTTTTCATTAGCTTTTTGTTGTGGACACTACCCATTTATCTTTCTCATAATCCTTCCCCCAGCGCATGTTAACAATGTTATTTTAGTAAGTTGTTTAATTATTTAACATCCCTGGGAGGCTAGTTCCTTGGTTAGAGAGCCCTTTCCCAGAGCAGGCTTCCACCCTGACTCCCTTTAGCCCCTGAGAGCCGAATCCCACAGAATCCCAGTGGCCTCACACACCCACATCCACGTCACAGGTGCCTTTAATGAAGACAAGGGGGATGACCATGACGTGCGCCCTTGTTGCTGCCAGTTGAGTGTCTCCATAAGCCCTCTCTGATCCCTAATCCATCCATGGTTCATCTCAGCAGCGCCCAAGCATTGAGCAGGCAGAGCCTTGGGATTGCCATGGGGCTCGCGGGGCATCACCCGCTTCAAGGTTGTCCCCAAAAAGGGACCCAACCGGTGCAGAAAGCTGCAGAAAGCCCAGAGTGCACTGATAAACTTCTTGCACCTCCCAGCTCCTCCTAAGCACCAACTCTTTGCAGTCTGCTTAGATACAGAAATATGATGCTCAGTATCCCGTCCACATTTTAGCACAATCCATAGATATTTTTTTAAAAGATTAAAACATGCTCCAGAACAACCCAATACAATGTTCTGCCCAACAGAAGAGAACTCCCACGGCAAACCCTTTGTTTCTCCAGCAGTACATGAGCCTCACTCGGCAGTGCCTGCTGCCTCTCAGCAACAAACCAAGGAGAAAGAAGAGTGTTGGTGGATCCGGGGACATGAAAAAGTGCCCAATATCCCTGTGACCCATTTGCACTCCTGCCTTGACAGCCACCTTTATAAACTAGTTCATATCTGGGGAACCTGGAGCAAAGCTACATCCTAAAAAGCCTGCATCATCCTTGCATTAGGTCCTGACTTCCCCATTCCACCTCTTCGCAGCCATCCAACCCTTCAGCTGCCCATAGCTCTCCTTCTCCTCCTCCTCACTCCCTCACTCTTCCCTGTCTCCCTTCTCAACTCCCCTGCCATCAAATGCCACCTTCCATGAAGAAGCTCATCCCTCCCCATCTCTCTCTGACACACCTTCACCTCCTTAACCTAAAACTGAAATTAAAACCACATTCTTGGAGGACAGTAGAACAGAAGGTCACGTCACACATTTAAATGCCATATCTGGATGGGTCCCATTCCCTCAGCACACCTTGTCTGCCAGTTTTTGAACCACAGCAAGGTTCTGGGGTGGTGTCACGGTCACAGAGGACATCCCATATGGCCAACACCTGACTGTTTAACAAAACTACAGCAGTTTAGTCCAATAAAAGAGGTTGCTCTTCCCTCTAACACTTTGACTTTCACATCCACTGGCCGAGAGGCTCATCCCAACAGAGACCATCCACTTTTATCACCCTCCAAAGGATGTGGGCACCGGAGCAGCAGGGATAGCCAGTGCTCACACCTCGCTGGCAAAGACTTCTGAATTCCTCAGCTTCACCTTATGTACACCCCAGCCATCCTCAAACAAGCCCAGAAGCCTGCATTTGGTTAAAATAACTGTTTATTCCTCAAAGACTCAATTCCTGGCCAGAATAAACTGTCAATTCAGTCACTGATGGCTGAAGATGCTGTCTGGAACAAGAGAGCCCAAAGGAATAAAAGAGGTTTCTCTGTAAATGGGAACAGACCTAATTTCACCTTCCAGGGACTGCATCATTGACCAGAGCACAGATATTCTAGTTCATGGTTCACATCAGGTGTGGATTTGCACGTGTGCATCTCTGACATGCCTGAGGACAAGCCTTCTCCGTATTATTAGGAGCAATTTATCCTATTCACCTGACCAGGAAACCACTCCTGATCAGAGCATCACATCAGATATTCCTGGGCTGATGGGGAAATCACTGACCCCCGCAGACAGGGCAGCCCCAGCATTCCCCCCCTCCCAGGTATTCCCTCCCTCTGGCATTGCTTCTGTCCCAGCAGGCTTGTCCCACACCTCAGGTCTGGGGGGTCTGGGGCAACATTTCAGAGCTGCCGACCCTATAACTGAAGAGTCAGGACTACCTAAGATATATTTTTACAAAGTTTCCCCCGAGAGGAGACAGACATTTCATTCAAGAAAACACAGTGCTGTATTTCACGAATCCACGCTCAGTTCATTACACGGGAATCATTACCTCATTCCTTGTGATTTGCAAAACCTTTATGCGGTAATTAAGATAAAGTGACTTTGTCCTATGCAGTTAAAGACAAGACTGTACAAATCTATAGAGTTTCTATACTTTTCCAATGATTTTGCATACTGCTACCAAATAATACCCCTTTCCAAGTCCCTTTGCCTTATCAAAACCCCTCTGGGCTTGTGTCACAGCCTTCCCGATCCAACTCCTGTTGTGATGCCGTATCCAACCCCTCCAACCTGCCTTCCTCACTCTGTCTCTCTGCATTTTGCCTCCCTGTATCTCGCTGGCAGCGAGACGCCGGGCTCCATGACGTACCTGATGGGCAGAGAGGGGTCCCCAGCATCCCACCAGTCCTTGGGGGGGCTGATGTACATGCACCACAGCTCCCAGCTGTACCCATGGGCAGAGTTCTCGTAGCGCTGCACCTCGAAGTTGTCCTGCTTGATGTTGTCTATGGAGGGAAGAATGACCCTCCTCCGATTCTCCTGAATTCGTGAAAGCACCGGCTCAGCCCTGAGTGGTTAAAAAAAACAGGGTGGGAAAAGACCATTAGTTTCTCCCATAATATGCAGACGGACACTGTAGCTTTCATACAGCGTGTGCACTTAAACAAGGGTAAGAAAACAGGCGTTCTTGTCACCATTCAGTTAACAAAAGGGAATAATGCAGAATAATTATATAGGAATAATCCCCTCTGCTCCCATTCACAAGTGGCATCATGTCTTCAGGGTGACACAGCAGAACCCAGCCCGAGGAGCCCAGGGACTGTCACAGGTGGTCTCAGACCCCAGTGCATCAGTTTGTCTCACCCTTTGTGGCAGTGTGCTCTCCCTGGTTTGCCCCCCCCCCTCCCTCTCCGCTCCTGCCCGGCCTTGGCCACCACGGCCATCACAACAGCAGCTGTGAGAACTTGCACCCGGTCTCTGGGGGATGGCTGGCAGCATAGTCAAAATACTGTCTGGAGTGGGGACCTAGAAATTTTGTTGCCATGAAAATATGACTATAGGTCAATTATCTTACTGTATAAATAGTGGACAGCCCAAGAGCCCTTGGAGCTCTCCTGTACGGCAGCGGGCTGCACGCCAGGATCTCCCCTTTGGTGAGGATGCTCACTGAAGGTTCTACTCCTCGAGGTTGAGAGATTCCTTGCCACAACAGATTCTCGGTAAGTGACTAATTGCATGCTAAACTTTGAAATTTTATCTAAGTAAGGATTAATTGTGCATATATAATCCTTTAGACATAAACCGTTGACCAAGTCTGGGACTAGGATTGGATCCAGCCGCACCCAGACTCCTCTCTGAGAAGGAGTTTAGAAAGCCAGGGGGTCCTTTCTGAACCTGTGACTCAACGGGAGGGTCTCCCTGACAGCCTGTCTGACCCTGTCCTCTCTGCAGTAAATAATAGACTGTACCCTGACATCGAATCTCGTAAAACACTATCGCATTTACCACTGGTTTTATCGCACTTACTACTGGTTTTGTTAAATCACTGTTTCACCTTAATAAATATTTCTCTGCTTCACTCTAACTAGTGAAGTTAATCACTCCGTCCGCGACACCCTTCCCCGTGCTTTTGTGGGCACGGACATCGCACAGAGGCACAGCGCTCACGCTCCCGAGTTTAAAAGGTTATTTTGGAAAGGCTTTGTCGAGCTCCATCAGCCCTGAGGGAGATGCTGCGAGAGGCTTTAGCACTTCCACTTGATGGGACTTCCCACCCGGGCACGTCCCCCGCGTGGAGCTGCCATCGCAGCACGGGGGCCAGTTGCCACACACGGAGCTCAGGTAGCCACAGCCCTGCAGCTCTGGGGAGGGTCAGTGCTCTCCACAACTCACTACACAAATTCACGGACCGGCCGGAGCTCTCAGCGCAAGGAAAGGGCTATTTTCACAAACTAAGGCGTTAAGCTGTGGAAATGAATTAAAGTCTGTGAAACTGGACCTTATCTTTTCCCGCAGGGCTAGTACACCGTGTTTTCTCTGCTGGGCTGATTTTAAAAAAAGCATTATTAAATAATAATTCCATATTGTAAAGTTTCCAGTTTTCAAAATTTCCGTGTTTTTAACCTGAGCTTTCCAGACATCTTTATTAAGGTAGCAACAAAAGCAGACAATCCATGAAATAGGGGCCAGTTTTGCAGCATTGTGCAGCTGGGAGTTTCTTGGAGAAGGTGCTCCATGACCACCTGGAGACCCTTTCCATACGAGACCTGTGGACCATCAAAAGAAACAGACTCACGATGGACAACCAGGAGTTAGGTCTTTTCAGCGTGGGTCGTTGAGCTGCAGAGCACCTTGCCCAAGGATGCTGTGAATGCATGAAGTTTACACAGGCTCCATGGGCAACAGGTAAAAACTCATGAGAAATGCAGTGAAGGTTGCTACATACACAGAAGCTGTATCTGCTTCGCATCAGCACATCAGTGGACTTCAGTAGGGTGCTCTGAAGGATTACTGTATGTGCTAGCCCTACCCGTATGTGCTATCCCAAGGTTCTAGCTGTGGTTACTGGCACAAGAGGAGGACAGACGGGCTCTTGGCTGGCTGCAACACGGCTGCTCTCATCTACCTCTGTTCCACCTGGATGGTTCTCCTGGGAACAGCCTGATGTGCATCTTCAGGGTGACTGCACACAGATCCCTGTGCTGTCACGCACGAGCGGGAATCCTGCATGAAAACACCATCCACAGGCCAGGAAGCCTGGCTTGAAACCTCCCCTTCTGTAAAGCAAGGCCATAAAGGATGCATTTTTGTTTAAACCACGCTTTAACTAGTCCAGACTGCCCTCAAATCCAAAAAAACATGGCCCTGGGCAGAGCAGGGTAAATTCTTGAAAGTGGGACTATCTGAAGGTCTTTTTTAACTTGGAACACACTTCTTTGAGGAACCAAATATGGATTCTACAGCTACAAAATTCAGCTCTGGGACAATCAAAGGTGCCCAGAGCAGGGGCTGTACAGCCTCACCTCTGCAGCCCTGTGCAGATCACTGATGGTCCTGGGCTCAGTCTACCAACACGAGGAGGAACTCGCACTCTGGTGCCTTCAGCAACAGTGGTGGGTACAGAACTCTAGAGTGAGTCAAGCCCTCGCTGCAGAAAAGCTCACTCTCTATCCCTAGAAAAGACGTTTCAAGAGCTCAGTGAATGGGGGCTTCCTGTGTGTATCAATAAAATCAGGTGTGAGGAATTCACGGCCCAAAGAGAAGAATGTTTAGTTGGGAACACAGACATCAACGTAAGAAACGGCTCCTAAATACACCCTTCACCTGCGTTGTCGTTACAAAGAACTCAGTAATTGAGCAGAACTCCCTGTTCAAACCCGCTACAGCATTTTTCTTGTGATGTTACTCCGTTCAAATTAGACACAAGTTAGTGTCTTCCACCTCTGCTTTTCTAAACATGGACCATTTACCTTCTACACTTGGCTAGAGAGAGAGAAAAAAATAAATCACTCGGGCTTCTCTCATGATCTAGACTGAAGTTTAAGCCACTAGAACTCAAATGCTTTGAATCTCTATGAAAAAATCCTTATGAAACACCTTTCACTGCTTCTGCACCTCTGCACTTATTCCAAGCTGCAGAAGAAACAAATCAATCTAAAACATCTAAGGCTTCCCCAGTGGGATCCAGCTGCAAAGGGCAAGAAGCAGGAAACAACGTTCTCTTTCCATCCCTTGCTGCCTGGGCTTGTTAAAACTTACAGAAACTACTTAGGGCTCAGGGAACGGGAAATCAACCTGAAAAATATGAACGGGGAGGGAGGTGGAGGGTGGGTGCACGCACAAAAGGAGGGAATAGAAAATGATTACAGGAAAGAAGGGCAAGGACAGATTTTCCTTGTATCCTCCCATCGTAACCCATCAGTGTCCATTCAGTACAGAAGGAAGATGGGATTTATAAGCCAGCCGACTTGTCTGCAAACACATCCTTACAAAGTGATGGATTGTCCCTTATTTTAATGCATCGCACACACACACACAGAGACTCTAACCGAGCCCTGGTCGAGCACCTACCAGCCAGCAGTGAACTCCACATGGGCATCAAAAAATCCAGTGATCTGGCCGGTGGCAGCTTTCCAGCCTTCAATACGAGCTCGGATGAGGCCTTCCCTCTTCTGGTTGCGCACCACCTTCACCAGCCCCGGGTATCGCTTATTGACATATTCTTCCAGCGGCGCCTTCAGTTCCTCTAGAGAAGAAGTGCCAGAGAACCCATTGAAAAGGTGCAACAGTTTTCACCTAAAATAAACCCACTTCACTGATGGATGTGAGCACAACTTACTGGAGCCACACATCTCTGAACATCACTAGGAGAGATATAACCACTCAGTCTCAATCAATCCTGATTTGTAAAAGACCGTCTGACGGTGTACTGACTACAACCCTTACAACAAAACTCACAGTTGCCAAAAACATTGATGTTGGACAACCAAGGAGCCCAAATGCCATCTTCAGGGGCAAAGGGCAACAAGAGGTCATCTAGATTGCTTTGCAATACCTGGGTACCACCCCACAGAGAGACAAAAATAGAAAGAACTCACCTGTGGATACCAAACACTAGTGGCTCTGAACTTCTGATGGAGATTTCAGCTGTATTGATTGCTAGAAATGCTGCAAAACCCATCTGAAGTAGCTTAAACTACATCAAACTGTGTATGAGCTTCACTATCCTCTTCATTCAGCTTCACTACTACAGTCTCAGCATTTGCTGCATGTTTTCCAAGCTTTGCCACTAGAAAAGCTGAAATTCCCCCTGCTTTTATGACGGGATGAAAGAGATTTTTGGCTTCATTCAGAAGATGCTCATACTACGTATCTTCTGCTCGTTGGAAACTGCAGATCGTTTAATTATGTTGTCTCAGCCTGTATGTGTGCGACAGCTGAGAACACAATGGATCTGTCAGCCTGCAGTCATTACCAGCACAGCATTTTTTGATAGAAGTATTGAGTATAAAAGACACACAGGACTTAGAACGTGGAAGCATATGAAAGGTTGCAATGAAGGGTCAGTACTAGTATGTTTTTTCAACAATTTGGAAAAGTGCTAGCACTCTGCCAGAAACCGTGGTCCTTTTACTTCCTGGTGCATCTGTTAAATGCATGAAGATATTCTGATGAGAAGTAAAAGCTAAGCCATACCATTGTGCACCAACACGGACTGTTAACACCATGAAAGCAGTTCCTGGGAATGTCTTTTATCCCTGTGAGATTTTAGTACAGCAGAAAATTAAGATATGGTTCACGACTCCGAAGTATAGTCTACCTCCCTTCACATGTACTCTCTCTCCAGAAAAAAAAAAAAGAAAATAAAAAGAAAGAAGTCACCATTAATATAACCCACATGGTAAAATACTTAAGACATGAGCACATGTGGGTCCCTACATGAAGGAAACACGGCAATGGAGCACAAAAGAGTAAACAGCAAGTTCCATCTGTGGGTCTCAACCCAAGGAATCAAAGGAAAAGGGATTATCTGTTGCCTTCCCTTCCACGCCTTCTTCCAAGCACATAAAATGTGCTTTCTTCAGACTGCCGTTCTGGGTTGGTTCCCCTTACATACCAATTTCCCAAAAGTCTCATTTGAATTTTATGCTGAAGTGGGAATAAAAAGAATAAAGCAAATGAGCCCCTTCCTCAATTCAAAGCATCTGCATCACATACATACATAACTCAGCAACTTCCATTTCATGCTGAGCCACTCAGAGGAAAACCAATATTTTATGGAGACAACAACTTTCCCGAATGGTTTTAAGGAGACACAGATTTTTTGACAGATGAAACCCCACAGGCACAGAGTGGCATCTCACGTGTTTTTGTCAGAAGGTAAGTCATTAATGCTGCAGACCACTGCGTTACAGGCTAGACTGAACAATTAAAACAACTTCCAAATTGGAGTTATCAACTCAGCTGAAGGAAAACAAGAAAAATCTTCATGGGAATTGTCTGAGCAGCTCGAAGGAGAGTATAGCTGCAGTGCAACAGGGGAGAATTGTAACATCATGTCTCAAAGGCAGTGAAGGGTGAAGCCGGAGAGATTCCTACGCCCACCACGTCGTGTAACAGGCAGCTTGTCAGAAACTCCCCAGGGAGCCACACACAGCCACGTCCTCCTCCTTCTGAAAGGATGCAGGAAGATAACGGGTGAAGGACCAATCTGCTGAGAGCATGAAGGCCAGTGCAGCACCGCCCTGCGCCTGCGAAACGGCAGGAGGTGACCATGGAGAGCTGGTGAAGGAGATGCTTGTGATTAGCATTATTCTAACCCACCACCCCATTCACCAGCAGAGGCCAGAGTGCCCCTCTCCTGCCTGCAACATGCTACGAGCATCCCTAATGGGCTGCTACCCACGTGGAGAAACACTCAAGAGACACGAAACCATTAACCAGGCGTGGGAAATGTGGTTCCAGACTCTTTCTTCACTAAGGGCTTCCCCTACAACCTTGCACAGATTTCCAGGCTCTACTCCCTCTACTCTACTCCCTGGCTCAGTCCACAGCACAGACCTTTTGGGTGAGAATTCACTTTTCTTATGTGCCTGTAGGAAAATAAAGAGGATGGCTGCACATTCATGGCAGCCTTTGCCAGCCTCTTGCCCTCCTGCAGCTGGTCTGCAGCCCTGCGGGAGGAGGACATGGTGCAGAGCGGCTGCCAAGCGCTCGTTTGGTATTACAACACAAGCTTGGCACTCAACTGGGTGTCCAGCCAGCAGGCACAGGGATGGGGTGGGCTTTGGATTTCATTTCTCAGCGCATCCAGAAGTGCAGGTGTGGAAAATGCAGTATTAGGTAACAGAATTGAAATGCCAGTCCCCAGGAATGCTCTGGAAAACTCCCACTCAATACCAAGGAGCCTCAGCCCAGGTCTCCCCTTGCCATTGAGTGGGAACTGAACATGGTTGTGTTGAAAAGCAGCAGTGGAAATCCCAGCACTGGCAGAGCTGCTCAGAACTCCCCAGTCCTGCAGACACTGATCCTGTGGGACCAGACGTGCTCAGCTCCCTCCACATTAACTCCAGCGGGCTGGAAATCATAAAATCATGGAATGGTTTGGGTTGGAAGGGACCTTGAGGATCAGCCAGTCCCACCCCCTGCCCTGGGCAGGGACACCTCCCACCAGACCAGGTTGCTCCAAGCCCCCTCCAACCTGGCCTTGAACCCCTCCAGGGATGGGGCAGCCACAGCTTCTCTGGGCAACCTGGGCCAGGCTCTCACCACCCTCACACCAAAGAAGTTCGTCCTCAGATCTCATCTCAATTTCCCCTCTTTCAGTGTCAAACCCTTTCCCCTCATCCTAGGGCTCCCCTCCCTGATCCAGAGTCCCTCCCCATCTCTCCTGGAGCCCCTTTAGGGACTGGAAGGTCTCCCCGGAGCCTTCTCTTCTCCAGGCTGAACCCCCCCAACTCTCTCAGCCTGTCCTCCCAGCAGAGGGGCTCCAGCCCTCCCAGCACCTCCATGGCCCTACTCACACACACTCACAACTCACTCACAAGTCTAATCTCAATCCAAGTCACTTGAAGCCATTCCTAATCTCACCCTGGGTTTTCCTTCCCCCAGCAGCCGCTGTGTGGAGTGCCACAGTGTGACAGAACACAACTCGTGGTGGCTCTGACACACGCTGTCACAGCGCGTGGCTCCAGGCGGAGGATGCAGAGAGCTGTTGCATTAAGGTCAGTAGCAGCAAAGCTTTTCGTCTGTCATATTAACTTAAGAAATGTTTCATCCCCGACTGCTGCGTCTTCGCAGCACGTCCCAGCGCTGTAATCGGAAGGTTGGGAGGTCTGGAGTAGTTTGCCAGGAATTAAATGACTTGCACTAATGGACAATAGCAGATACCCTCGCTTAAGGGAGTCAGTTTTCACACAAACTGGCAACCTGGCCTTTGGATCTGCTATTTTCAGGACTTCATGCAAATTACAGCAGAGGACAAAACATCTCGCCGTTTAGATCTAAACTTGCTGCCTCTGTCCTCACCTCTGCCTTGCACGGGGTCAGAGCGGCACTTCCGCTTGCTGGAAATGAGAATATCTATTAGATACTGAGCTGATGATAAATTTAGCATGATAACCAGCCCAGAGTTCATAACCTGAGCCTCTGGATGCAAAATAATGACAAAAAGTCAGGAGTCAAGATGGGAGCTCCCCAGCTCCCCTTCATCCTTCCTAATCAAAGGACCACAGGCTGAGACCATGCACGTGTGAGGTATCTCAGTGGGTGGATCTACACGGGCTACACAACCAGCAATTTGATCCAAACCAAGCACAGGGATGGAATCCAGCAACTCCTTTCTCCTCTGTATCCCATGGCACTCTTCCTCACGCACCCTTTGGGGAAGCCCATCCTTCAGAGCACGCCCACATCATTCTTAAATCATATGTATTAAGGATGCAATCAATATTTGCACATGGAGGTACCTGAGAATGTGTGGTCTTTGCCGTTGCATGAGCAACTTCCAGGGAAGAATTGCAGAGAGGAATTCTACTGAAAATGCCAGCGGGTTCAATTTCAGCCCTGCCTTTTGTTCTCTGTCCATCCGTATTGATCTTCACTGAAGGGCAAGTCCAAGGAACTAGAATCCAATAGACCTGTTGCTCTATTAAAAAACCCATCTGCCAGCTGCAATGACTTATGTTACCCATTGCAAAGTACTTTGTCACCTACATGAGCTTTCTGGGAAATAAGCCTGCCAGAGAAATCGAACCACCTGATGCCACTGAAAGTAACCCTGTCCCGGACATTAGCCCAGAAGCAACTGCAGGAACATCCACTGCTCAGCGCTCCACACCGCAAATCCTGTCCAAATCCCCCCAGATCCCGTTGAAGGCCCCAGAACTAAAGGTGGGAACTGCTTGCTGCCACACAAAGAAAGGAGCAAAGACTGACGGCAGGAGAGGAGCTCAAGGAAGTCCCAACAGCAGAAAATGTCTAACAGCAATGCCCAGGTGGTGGCAGGGAGCAGACTACACCTCCTCTACACCCCTAAAGAAAACAGCACTGTGTTTGCCAGGCTGAGCTGGGTGGGAAAAGTCTACAGAGCCCTGGGCTGTTATCAGAAACCTGAAGGCTGAAGGACACAGGAGTTGGGGCCAGGAGTGCTCCAGTGCCATGGGAGACACCAGTCCTACCTTGTCCCACGCTCTCACCCGCCTTGGACCCCAAAGCCATTGTGGCTGATTTTCTGTGACATGAACTCACAAAAGAAACTCCTTCAATGGGTAATAGATGAATATGAGAATTTTTGCAGTGAGACTCTGTGCCAGGTGAGTCTCTGAAGCTTTGTGCCTGCATATACTGAAGAGGACACTGTGAAAAGGAGAGCAGGAGCATGGGCTGATTCTCACAGAGGGGGACAGGCAAAGCTGGTCCCACTGGAGGGATGCATTCAGAGGGGCATTGGGTGCAAACCTCTGGTTTGTTTGGCCCAGCAAAAGCCAACGAGGGCCAAACCAAGCAGATTTGCTGCTCCCCTCCACACCTCGGAAGGGCCTGACAGCCCCGGACCCAAACAGCAGCGGGATGGCACCAGGTCAGCTGCAATCAAACGACCCATCCTTCGTTTGAGCAACTGGAGTAACGAGGCCCTCGGGTGGGAGCAGAGCCCAGGAGGAGCCGAGGTACAACTCAGCTTCTTGCCATCCTGCTAAAACCCTCCTCTAAACACAAACGTGGTGAAGGCAACCAGCCAGCTCCCGGGAGAGCACACACGAACCGCTCTCGTGGCTGTTGAAAGGAGTTGCAAAACAAGAACACAATATATCAAGCCACAGCTAATACATTACAGCGAGGTAAATTACAACCCATGGCATGTCCCCCCGAGTGCAGCCAGCTCCTTTAAGCAAGTCTCTTATCCAGAGGTTTGCTTTTACACCTAGAGGTTTGCTTTTCAAAGAGATATTATCCCAGATTAAAAACACCAAAAGATGGACAGCAAAAAACCCCCAAATATAAGCAGGTGATTATTAGGCAACAGAGTGAGTGGAAGTGTGCAGCTGCGAGATAACGCACCATCTCAGGGGCACGTTGCTGCATCCCTCCAACAACCCAGGAAACGTGTTATCACTCAGAAACACAACCTGTGCACTTGCTTTGTAATTACACCCCTGCAACAAACACAAACAAAAGCCACCTCCAAAAAAGTCTTTATGAAGTATAACGTGCTGCTCAAGGGAGAAGGATCTCCAACTACAACTCCCTGAGCTTCCTCCTTCAAGGAGGGATTTTTTTCCTCCCCGTGACAATACATTGGTATCTTTTATCCACTTACAACTCAGATATAACGAATCAGAATGACTTTGCTTATTAACTTTTAATCTCTCGTTGCACACTTTTATGCTGTGTGGTGTCGTACAAACCACGTTACAACAAAGCTGGGAGCCAGGAGTGTCTAATGAGTCTTCAGAAGCAGTTTGTTCCAGTCTGAAAACTACAAAACAGGGAGAGGTTTTGGTGCTGGCTGTGTAAGCAGCCCGTGCTTTACCTGAAGGGCCAGAAGCAGTTGGGGTGTGCAGGGTGGGTGGCTCTTGCCTCTGTGCCTGGGACTCGTTTCAAAACTTGAAGTTGACTTAGAAATCCCAGAGGGCCTTTTAGTATTTGGGTTGGGAACACGCTTTGTTCTTCAATTACCCAGACAAGCTGCGTTTCCTCTTCCCATCTGCGTCAAGTGCTCCCCGACAAAACCTACACAGAAGCACCCCCGTGTGCAGCCCCAAGCCGTGGACCTTCCTGAGCCTTCAGCAGCTTTCCCAGGAGCTGCTCCTGGTGCCCCACCAGGGTACAACACAACTACTGGTTTTGAGCCAACCTCTGGAGATCAACCTTCTTTCAGGTGTATGAGACTTGGCCCCCGAAGGGTTTCCCAGGTGACAGCAACAGCCACGTACCCATAGAAACCATCCCTCAAACACCCAAAGAACCTAAAGTAATTCCTTCTTCTTGTTCAATCACAACCAGCAAAGTCGCACCCGCACACCCCCATCCTCTGTTTGACACCAGTGCTTCATCCTCCAGGATTCATCTCTAAATCTCAGAGCTCATGAGACACTATTTTCCTGTAATTATTTTCCTGTAGGAACCAAATCTATATATTGCAATGACTTTGTTTGTAATATCCAAAGCATCAACTCTATGATGTTGCTATTGCTGCTCACAATTATTTCCTACCATTAGCAGGAACTATATGACAATGTTATTGCCATTAATAATTCTTTGCTGTCATTGAAGCTCCTTGATACTGCAGAGTGAACGCATGGGTCCCAGAGATACGTTCTGGTTTGTATCATTTCTTTTACATGAGAAAACTAGATTATTACACGCTTGGGAGGAGCTCTCCATAAACATCTGCCAAGTTACCTCATTATCTTCCTTCAAATCCTTCCTTAAAAATCTCATTTGTCACGATGCCTGCAAAGACTCAACAGCATAGTGCTGACATTGCTAACGAAACCCACCAGCTAACAGCATCACATCCTTCCCTACACCCACTCTCCTCGTTGACTTCCATGGCAGGGTTCCTGAGGACAGAGCCACCTCAGTGTTTGGGTGTTGTACAACCTCAGCACAACCCAGTCCCATCACTAGGGACCCTGATGCTGCCCATCCCCGTGCAATCCATGCATCCTCTTGCTGGGATGCCAAGCGCATGTTGCTTAGGCGTGCAGGGAGGATAGGGTTTTCCCACCTCCTGCAGACGATGTATGAATTTGTCCCTCACTTTGTGTCACCTCCCTGGCCAGGGGGGTGCCATAAAGCACTCCCCACACAGTCCAAGCAGCTCGCTCAGCCTGCAAGAACAGGCATAAAGAGGAAAACCAGAGCTGGAAGTGCCTGAGCTCGCTCCAAGCTTGGCCACCCATCGTGCTGCCCTGTCACCACCATGCCAGCGACCATCCCCACCACCAGACCCCACCAGACCCCACCAGACCCCACCAGCGCTGGCCCAGCCCAGCAGCAAACTGGGAGGGATGGTGGTGCCTTGCAATCTTGGTTGGTGGATAAAGAGGTTTCATTCTGCACCCTCGCTGCCAGCTGCAGTCTCAGCTTATCGAGGGACCTTGCAATCTTGGTTGGTGGATAAAGAGGTTTCATTCTGCACCCTCACTGCCAGCTGCAGTCTCAGCTTATCCAGGGAATGTGTGTGTGTGTGTGATGCTTTTTGAAAGGATCCATTTCATCGTCCCGTGCCTTTCAGCAGTGTCTCCAGAGCACTTGACTCAGAATTAGCCGCAGTCCTGCACACTGAGTGATGGGTGAAGGCCGCTTAGAAGCGTGTTTCTTTGTGCATGGCAGTGGGTAGAGAAGCTCCATGCTCTCTTTTAAAGCATGTTCTTCTCTTTTCACCCCATTGATATGGGAAAATTTGGAGAGGCAGCATTTCATTTCGGTATTTCAAACCCTCTAAGTCCTGAGCAATGCTAAATACTGCAGTGACAGATCACCTGCACTTTCTCCTCACCAGCCAAGCAGTTCCAGCTCTGAAATCCCCTGGTTTCACTGGTGCCCACCATCCTGGCTTCTGTGCTAGAGCTGCTGCGATTTCCATCAGCTGAGGAGCTGCCCTCCTGTTCCTTTTACTGGTAATTATAATTCATCAGCTTTCTATGGTGCTCATTACTGTGGTATTTGAGTGCCTATTTTTATAAGCTTGAATAGCTTGCTGTACACTATCTCATCTCACTGCAGACAGACGAGCAACCTCTCAGGCTCCCTCTGGAAATGAGCTCTTCACGTCCCGCACCCTCCCTGATCTTCCCTTCTGATGGCAGCATCCCCAGCACGTGTCTCTTATTTCTTTAAAATAATATTAAAAGCAGGCAGTACAAATAAAGAGGCCAGCAATCAAAGTAACTTAACCATTTGCAGTTCTTCGTGAAGATTTTAACTACCCTGATATTATCAGGGTATTAGATTTTAACTACCCTGATAATGACGTTACCCAACAGTATATTGGGCCAGCAATCAAAGTAACTTAACCATTTGCAGTTCTTCGTGAAGATTTTAACTACCCTGATATTATCAGGGTATTAGATTTTAACTACCCTGATAATGATGTTACCCAACTGTATATTGGAAAAAAAAAAAAAAAAATCTTGGAAGAATCCAAGTTTGAAAATGCTTCCAGATGAAACCACCTCCTGCAGCTCTGTGTTACCCAGAGGCAGACGGGAAGGTATCGCAACAGTGACTGAGAGCAGCTCGAACCAAACGACACATCCCCCTCCGCAGTCAGTCACGGCCCAACTCAAGCAAGGTGGGAGTTCTTCACTCACCCTTCTCGTATCAAAAATAGAATACGAGAGGAAGGAGGGTTTCTAAAGGGTCCCAGTCATTTATAAAGTCTGGGACTTTATTTTACAGACTGGAAAACTGAGGCGCACACAGAGAAAATGTCTCATTTAAGACCACTGCCAGGGGCCAAACCAGAAATAGCTCACTGGGCTCCAGGCTCTTGTCCCTTAACCCTGGGGTAAATACTCAGGGGGGTGTTTCTATAACAAAGTGTTATTATTAGAAGCGAGGACACACCTGAAACCAGAACTTTTGGATGCTACTATGAAGAGAAAGCTAAGATTGTTCTCTGGTTTCCTTTAGCCTTCAAGCTTTCAGCTACACTTTCAATCAATAGTTATCTCAGATTTTAACTTTGGTTCGATCCTGTTTCTTTTTTGCTACAGAAGCTGGAGAAAAACCATTGTGCCAGCCAGCAAACCTGCCACCGTGTCTCTCCTAGCAGTGTCACCGCTCCTAAAGTGTGACCCCTCAATGAGGTTTTAGGAAATTAAACTCCCTCTTGACATTTTGGAGATCCAAGCTCCCGGAGCTGCTAACCTTCATCACTGTTGTCATCCACGAGGATGATCTCCTTCAGGAGGTGAGCTGGCGTATGGTTCACCGCGCTGTGCACCGAGCGCAGGATCACGGAGAGCGCTTCGTTCACAAAGATGAAGATGATGGAGATCTGGGGCAGGTCCTTGCCGTATTTCAGCTCTTTGCACCTGCAGCACAAAGGGCAGAGAGGGAAAGACAGGGTTAGCAGAGCACTCGGCCCACACACATCACAGGACAACGGGTGACATCCCACGGCTCCGCACAGCCGGGGGTTACAGCCCCCTGGGGACTATCTCAGCAGCGCTGTCTCGGAAGAGAGAGTGGTGATGGAGTGTCCTCCAGGCCTGGACAGCATAAACCTGGAGCTCCCTCAACCAAGGTTGTGTTTGCATGTCTGTAGGCATGTAACTGAAAACATCCTCCCGAGAGAAAATGGCTTTACCATTTAAAGTGAAACTCCCCGACTCCCGAGAGAAAATGGCTTTACCATTTAAACTCCCCAGTTCCTGTTCTCTTTTAAGATTAATAGGTGCTCAGAAATTAGCTTTGCTCTTAAATGGCACTTGTGAATTTTCTTCCCATTTGCTTTGGAATGAAATGAATATGAAATGACCCTTGGTTAAATAGTCTTAATAGATGTTTTAGCTCCCTTTGCGGATACTTCCGAACACATCCCTGTCCCTGAAGGTACCCCAGCAGAGCACGGCCACGAACTGGTATCTTTGTGCTACGCAGCCAGGAGAGGTTGAAATCCTTGTGGCCATCTCTCTGGGTTTCAGGAATAATTGCTTAACTCGAGTTTTCTTGTGGCTGGGCATCTGCTTAGACATGTTTCTGCCCATCAGAAGTAGGAGGAGTTCCCAGGTCACCCACCAGCCACCTCCATCCCTGGCAAGTGACTGGTTCACGTTACCTCGACCTTGAGATGAAGGACACCTGTGGAGCAGAACCAGGGTGGCTCTTGGTGGAAGACGCCTCTCCAAGGAGCGCACATCGCTCCCCAAGAGGTACAGATGGTGGTGTAACACCACACTTTATCCTACCCAGAAACTTAATAAAAGTACTTGCAGAACGCAAACAGGCCATCTTCAACTACCTCAAACAATTTAATCAAACTCTCCAGCTTCCCCTACAGTAAGTGTGTGGGAGGGAAGAAGGAAACGAGCCTCCCCACTCCCTCGCCGCATTCATGACAGATTAGACACGCAACATTAGCCGTGTTCACAGAATTACAATGAGCGTTTTCCGAATCAAACCTGCCCAGATAAGCAAAGAAAGACGGGACGCACCAACGATGTCGCTGATAAGCAAAGAAAGACGGGACGCACCAACGCACCAACGATCAAGCTCACTGACTGCCCGACAAGGACCCTCTGTTTAATTGTGCTGTTCCTCAGGCAATGCCAGCGTTCCTTCTTCAGACTCCAACACGAGACTTGGGAGACAAAGATTTTAACAAAAATCACAGCTCTTTATGATTCCTCTTCAGTTAAACAAGTACGCTGGATAAAAACAAGGTTGTATTTCTTGATTTAACCATTGCCTGCCCTAAACCAAGCCACGCTCTCTACAAAAGGTAATGTGCCAAACACTGGAAAGGATCTTCCAGAGGGAAAGCCTCCACTTAAAATGAATGAACAATCGCGAGGGGGTAAAGTGACAATTGACCCCGAAATCCTGCCACAAAAGTCAAACTAAACTGACTCTGAGATTAAAAACCTGCTTTTGATATATGTCGATACCTGCTAAGCTGAAGAGAAGGTGGTCAGAGGAACAAGAGCGTTTCCTTTTAATCATCGCACACCTCCGGGCAGCCTTCCCCCGGGGCTCGCTTCGGGGGGATAAAGAGCTCAGCTCCTGATCAAAGAGGTTCGGAGGAAAATCCAGACCGAGTCCTTTGAGGTTCATCTCCTGCTCATTGGCATTCGCCCCACACCACCCTGATCCGGGCTCTCCTTCCCCCATGGCTGAGGACAGAGATATGGGGAGAAGAGATAAGGAATGGACACGCCGAACACCCGCGTTGTTCCCCGGCACAAAGCTGCAATTCTCTGGAGGCAGGCGGGGGGGAGGCAAAGGCTTTGCATAAACACCCTGCTCTCCGGTGGCTTTTGGTCACAACCACGCGAGCAGGGAAGGCAGCAATTTGAAACCAAATTAACCTCAAGTTTGTCAGCCCTCACACGGGCTCTCTGCAGTCGCTGGCGCGGAGGATGCTCTCCGCCCGCAGACACGTGTGGTCGGGCTCCACTGCCCTCGGTCAGTATTGACAGGCCGAGCTGTTAACAAATATTCCTGCCTGTGAGCAGGAAAACACCTGGTGCTTTGGGGCTCTCCTGCGGTCAGGGAGGGGAAAAAGAAAAAAATAAATTAAAAATAAATGCTTTGCCTCAAACATAATTAGAAGGACCAGTGGAGAACTTGTTAGAAACCACAGGAATAATGAGCACATGAGATGGAAGGTGGTGGGGGTTCACTTTAGGTTTGTTTATTTATTTATTTTTAATATTTTAAATACAAAAAGGATTGATCTCAACTTTGTGGTTCAGCCTTATCATTCAGACCATTCACAGGCGGAGGCACAGAGGTTTGACTGTTTTATGCCTGGAAACATTTGGGACAGCAGTTTAGGAAGGACTCACCGTCCTGCAGTGGAGGGAGACCCTGCTGGCTGCTGAGGACAGAGGGCAGGCAAGGCTGGTGGCTGCCCATCGCTCCAGCTCATGGAGCTCCATTCCCCAGCTCAACCCTCCCCAAAAGCACAGCACCTTCCCAGTCCTGCGGGGCTGCATTTTTCTTTTAACAGTGTAGAATCATGGAATTGTCAAGGTTGGAAGGGACCTTTCAGGTCATTGAGTCCAACCAGCAACGTAACACTGACAAAAACCACCATGAAACTACATCACTGAACCCATGTCTAAGATGGAAAGACACAAGGTGTGAAAGGGAGGAATAAACCCGTGCACCAGGACAGGTTGGGGTTGACCTGCTGGAGAGCAGCTCTGCAGAGAGACCTGGGAGTTCTGCCCATGAGCCAGCAATGTGCCCTTGTGGCCAAGAAGGCCAATGGTCTCCTAGGGTGCATCAAGACGAGTGTGGTGAGAAGGTCAAGGGAGGTCATCCTGCCCCTCTACTCTGCCCTAGGGAGGCTACATCTGAAGTCCTGTGTCCAGTTCTGGGCTCCCCAGCTCAAGAAGGACAGGGAACTACTGCAGTGTCCAGGCGGAGCCTACGAAGATTATGAGGGACTGGAGAATCTCTCTCCTGGGGAAAGGCTGATGGACCTGGGGCTGTTCAGCTGGAGAAGAGCAGACTGAGAGGGGATCTCATCGATGCTGAGCAATAGCTAAAGGGCGGGTGGCAAGAGGATGGGGCCAGAATATTCCCAGTGGTGCCTGGTGACAGGACAAGGGGCGATGGGCACAAACTGGAACACGGAAAATTCCATCTCAACACAAGGAAGAACTTCTTTACTGTGAGGGTGGCAGAGCCCTGGAAGAGGCTGCCCAAAGAGGGTATGGAGTCGCCTTCTCTGGAGACATTCAAACCCCCCCTGGACATGTTCCTGTGCAACCTGCTGTGGGTGACCCTGCTCTGGCAGGGGGTTGGAAGAGATGGTCTCGTCTCCAGAGGTTCCTTCCAACCCCCACCATTCTGTGATTCTGTGAAACCTCTGCTGCCTTCAGTGTTTCAAGCATAACATGGAGGAAGGGCACAGAAAAACCAGCACCAGCCCCAGGTCCCAGCAGGAGCGATGACAAGTGGCTTGGGGACAAGTGCCCAGCAACAAACAGGCTTTCAAACCCCACCTGAGACACATCGTCACCCTCTGCCCACAGCTATTGCCCCTCAGGTGAGAAAGCATTCATCTGTTGCCAGGCAGTACCTTCAAAATTCACATCCCAGGCCAAAATACTTCTAAATTCAGGATTCAAGTCTCACTAATTATCCAACAGAAGACACACGGGGCCAGAACTGGAGTCTGGCACAGCTGGAGTCCTCGGCTCAGTCTGTGGGCTGGTCTCTTTGGGGATTAGCAATTAATGAGATAAATGTGATATTCGAGAAGGTTCTCAGGGGAGCTGGAGGCTAAGCAGCACACGGGAGACAAGAAGCTCTGGGTATAAACCTGTTATTCTGAGATATATAATTTTTTTTCCAAGCTTTTCTACAACCTGAATTGACACCGAAGCAAATCCATTTCTTATGTAGGCTGGAAAACCTCCACAGCTCCTCATGTCTTCCACAGGGGAAAATCTCAGGTTTTATTTCTAACGCTCAGCTCACACCATATCTGCTCTGCCCACAAGCAAGTCTCGGTCTGATATGTTGGATTTCCAAGGGAAAATTTGAAAACATTTGAAAACTTCTACATTTAAATGAAATACAACAGAGAGACCACCATGACGCACTCCTGTGGGTGTCAGTGATTAGTCACCCACAGGGTTAAAAAACAGCACCTCATTTTAAATTGAAATTTCCTCAGGCAAAAGAAAGGGCAATAACTGGCCACCTACATCCCAAAATCCTTCCTTCTTACTGGAGAAAATTGACGGTGGCTCCAGCTGATCCTTCCCAATCCCCTCTGCGCTGGATGAGAAACACTCAACTGCCAAAGCACAGGACGCCCCTTGCCAACACCTGTGAACTAATTAGTGCAGGTTACACAACTACATTTTCCCCACTAAATCCCACTGTCTCCAGTTAAATGTAGGCTGGCACCTGCTTGCAGCATTTATTTAAAAAAAAAAAGCCTCATGAATCAATAGCAAAAAGAAACAGATACCTTACAGTTTTGTCTCTCATTTAGATCAATGGGATATCAGAGTAAGAGGCGGTTTATGTCCCATTAAATCATGCTTGACTACGTCCCATTAAATCACACTCAAAAAACTCTCTGTAAGTTTGGAGAGGCCAGAGAAAATCCCAAACGTACGGCACTGGCTTTAATTTAAGGAGCTCGCTGAGCTCTCAGTGAGAAGTGTCCCTTGTCCTTAAACGGGGGAGAAAGGGGTTTAACTCCACCCTTGGACAAGGCTCAGACACACGTTTTTTCACGTCAGGAACAGGCTGACGGACCAACCATGGACACTGGTCCCAGCATAACCCTCTGCCTGGCACATCCAAGGACCAGCTCCCCGTGTCCCCCCCTCCTGCCCCCCAGGGA